CGTGTCGTTCCGTGGCAGTGCGAAGGATTTGAAGCATGGGAGCAATTCCGCGAGATGTGGCAATGACAACTTTATTTGTTGCCTTCAGAAGAGTCGTTACATGACTCTCCACGGGTTCTGCAGCCGTCGCCTCTACAGCATCGCCCTGCCGCAATGTAGCCAACCATGAGGAGCTGTTCTCGATGAGCCACGGGTTCAACACCACACCCACCACACCCGCATCGTCAGGCAACGTAAATGGGGTATACGCCTCCACGCGTTTGGTACTACCATGAGCCCGCAACGCCACTGCCTGTAGGGGAGCTAGTCCCGATACTTGAAGACTGCTTGGAAGGTCAAAGTAAAACCACAAAAAACCACTCTCGTCTTCCTCGACATTCCGCAACCTCAGCTGAGACCACTTGTCTCGTCGCAAACAAATAGGATCTTTTTCCACAACGTGCGCCGCGCGATCGCCCGCAATACGTCCAAAGACGACACATTCCAGCAGCGAGTTACCACCAAGACGATTCTTGCCGTGCACCCCGCCTGTCACCTCACCCGCTCCAAAGAGGCCAAGAACGGAACGGCGGCGACCAAAAAAGGAAGACTGTGATCCTTCCATCTGAATCTCTGCCGAGGGTGAGATGAGGCAGCCGCCCATTGTGTAGTGGATCGACGGCGTCACAAAGGCGACGTAGAAGGGACCCTGTGGGCCCACCACACACGGGTAGACATTCTTGCGGGTTTTTGGGCATTGACGGTTTGCCTTTGACAGCCGCTCGTATTCCTCCAGTGTCTGCCGCACGTTCTCCACAGGGCACTTGATGAGTGCTGCAAGATCCTCCAGCGTGTCCACTTTTTCAAAGAGACCAACTCGCTTCCAATAAAAAGCGTGGGCATTGACGCCAAACAGCTTTACCGCCGCATCATTGAGCACGCAGAAGGCAAACTTGCTGCCGTTGGAGCCTGGGTATTCGTCGCCCTGGTCAATGATCGCCTTGGAGACCACGGAGCGAAGTTCAAGCTCGTTAATAAACCGCTCACCTCTCTTATTTAGCAGGACGCCGCCCGACCCACGCAGCGCCTCTGGGCCCAGGTACTTCGTCGTATTGGCAGGGTCTTTTGGATCGATGAGGCCCGTCGGGTGAAGCTGCACCTTGTCCATGTCGACAAGCGTGGCGCCAAGGCGTCGTGCCAGCTTGACGCCGTCACCAGTGGCCCACGGTCCATTGGTCGTGGGGAAGCCAGACAGCTGCGGCGCAAACTCGCGGAGGAGGGAATTTGGGGTCTTGTCGTTTGAAAATCCACCGGTGGCAAGAATGACGGCATCCGCCAGGATCCTTGATTTTTCGCCGTCACTCTGCACAATTTCTACGCCGTAGACTTTGGTCTGCTTGACACCATCAGGGCGAATCTTGGATCTGTTCAGAAGCGCGGTGACGGTGGTATTTTCCATGATCGTCACGTGATCCGCGAGTTTCGTGCGAATGTGGTGCTCAAGCGTGCGCATGATGGTGAAGCCGATGGGCACGGGTGTCCCATCCGCCTTGTCAGGGGCGCGGTGCGTGCGCTTGCGGCTGTGCCCACCGAGCTGCGACAGCACCGTCAGGGGGATCCCCAGCGAGGAGAGCCAGCTAATGGCATCCCCGCTCTTGACGGAGAGGGTGCGCACCAGGCCCGGGTCGGTGGTGCCGCCGAGGGCGGATTTGTGTGTGTCACGTTCAAAGTACTTCCCGCCGTCATGGACATCCTGCAGCGCCTGCGCACGCGTGCCCCAGCCATTGATGCCGGACGTCGCCTTGGCGCTGTTGCCGCCAAGCTTCGACTCCTTCTCCAGCAGGATGACTTGGCCGCCGCAGGCGGCGGCCTCAATGGTGGCCGACAACCCGGCGAGGCCGCCACCCACGACGACGACGATGGGCTGCTGCGGCATTTCCACCATGTCGTGGAACACGTCGCGAGGGTGATTCTCGTTCGTTTCTTCGGTCATAAACTTGAAAGACACGGACGCCAGCAGGATGGCGGCGAGGAGAAAATAGGCTTTAAGGCGAATGGTTCTGCGGTTCAAACAATCTCCCCCACAGTTTCGGAGGAGAGGCGTTTTCTACTACTACAGTTATCTATTCAAGTGAGCTGCGTATCGCTACGGCTCAGATGCGTCCCGTGGACGCCGTGCTCCCAACAAAAGTGAGGGAAAAAGTGGAAATGCGACGCCAGACAGCTGGTGACAGAAGCGAGAGACTCTCTCTTATTCTTTCTCTCTCTTACACATACACACCGACGGCGGTGACGCTCCAGCGGTAATTATGTCCTTCTTCTCCCTTCTCCCTCAACGCCGCTCGCCTCGCGTTTCCAAGTGGACGTGCTGGATTTCATTACATACATGCGTGTATACAGTGGT